ATTAGTCTAAAATAATAAAAAAAAAGTTATAGAATATAATTGGAAAGTAAATAGGTAAGAAATTTTACGTCAGTATATATCTGCTATATCTGATATAATATATCCTGAGGTTGCAGTTTTAATCCTTGCTGGGGGAATTAAAAAAAATTAAAACAAAAAAAAGAAATTATGAGTCAAACAAGCACTTTTATAATAAGCTAATTTCACCTGATTTATTGCCATTGCAGACACCCATCCCAAACCTCACAATGCTGATTCCACCTAGAAATAGCCAAAACAAAGAAATCAGTTTCCATGGTTTACAAGTTTTGCTTGTCCTCTCTAAATAAAACCAGATAGATGGCACAGTCTTTGGAAAACATATGAAAACATCTGCGGTAGGGAATTTGGAACAGAATATATACAAAAAATTAATAGATCTACCAAAACTTAATACTCAAAGTAGTATGTGAATAGGCAGCCTCCCAGTGTGTTTTTTCCCAGTACAGGCAGTATATACAGCAGGGTCCAAACCAGGCTCATTCCTGGGGTTTGGCTTTACTCAAAAGAAACCAGTGTAGAGGTAGCAAAATTTAGGTCAGGTCTCTTCCCCAGACTTGGCTGCTCCTAAAACAAACTTATTAGGGCTCCCAAGTGTTTGCTGCAGGTTTTCAGTCTCTCTCAAATGTTTGCTACCAAGTCCTCTGCCATCTTCCTCCCTTGGGTTACTGTCACCCAGTCGTAGGACATAACAGGGAGAGCACTGTTCCACCCAGCAGGGATGCTCTGAATACTCGATAGATGGTCTTGTGAAAAGAACTGCAAAATAGAAGCTCATCCCTTCACTATTTCTCTTGTCTGTCCCAGGAGGGATAGAGGTTGCCAACTTGCCATACTGTGGTTGTAGTTAAAATTCAGCTGAAGCACATAAGCACAACTTTACAGAGGGAATGAAATTGCACAAGTGCTCCTGTAAGAAGTATCTGACCTGCTGCCTATGACTTTTAATATATGCCATTCCAGTCAAGGTTGCTCAATGCCATGGGGATACTGGGAGGAGGAGAGGAACAGAGAGGGGTAACATGAGAAGTGGCTACATGGACTTCAGTGGGGATTAATAGCCACAGAAAGAGGTGCTGGGAGAGGATGAGTTGCTGATAGTTACTGATGGCTTAGCTGCAGTATTTACTGCAGTATTTTTGTCCTGATTTTAGGTACAACTAGCATAAGCATGTTCAGCTGTGTTGACGTCACATCTTCATTTTCCCATGCAGGAGTACCCTGTAAACGTAAAGCCACTCCAAAAGTCTTTGTTACTATAATCTTCAACAGACTATGGAGAAAAACATACTGCTTAGTGACTAATGTAGCACAAATTCCCTGTAGCCCTAGTTACATAAACTACCATTTAAAAGACACAATTTAGTTATAAAGTGCACGTTAAAAGCTGCTCTCTCCTCCAAGTGCATATTGAATTCTCCATAAAGATTGTTTACAAGATCAGTTAGAAAGAAACTTTAAAGAAGCTTTTGAGCATTTCAGCCCATGGTTGCACCTTCTTTTTAGCCCCATGGCAAAGCATTTGGGATTATCCCAGAAGTCTGGGGGTGAGGGAGTTAGCTAAGAGAGTGGCTCGGTAGGGAAAATGTGCTGAGGCTGGGCTGTGGATTGGGCAGGAAGGGGAAGCTGCCCCACACGTGACTGGGGGTTACAGCACACATTGAGCAGAGCGTGTTCCCTGGTGACAGACATTTCCTCACTGTGCTCACGACACCGCCGTCACTTCACAGGACTACAAAGGGCATTTGAATTCTTCCTGTTTGTTTGTCCCAACACATGACAGTGAAGAATGAACCGTCCTCCAATCTAAATGACCAAGAAAACAAGCACATTTGGAAGAGATTTGTTCAACTGATGTTAAAAGTTGATTAGTACCTTTACTGAGCAGTAATTGTTCACTGAGGAATCTCTTTTCAGGCTGTAAATAATGATTTGTATTATCACCGTGTTATTCACTTTCAGGAAACGTGTTTTGCAGAACAAAGGTAGATCCATATCCCCTGCCTTTCAGAAATGAACCTGAAAAATTACATGATGTTTCCTATGCTTTATATCCTGATGTTTAAAACCTAGGCCAGGGAGATTTGTAGATTCTGGAGGCACTTGCAGTTTGTGGCTATAAAGCTGCAGAGGATGTCAGCTGAGACTTCTGCAGGCAGCACGGGAAGAGCTTTTCAAAGCTCTGTATTTCCAGAGTTCACGCCTTTGTTCAATAGCACATTATTCGGGAAGCAGTGCTTCTGCTCAGCTCTTCAATGTTTTTCCAGAAGGAAAAGCACATTAGCTGAGTGTCTCTCTGCTGTGGTCCCAATGCTAAAAATCAGAGTTTTCGTACAAGCAGTGCTGAGTGAGGGAACTGGCATGCCTCTACAGTAGGCTTTATCTCAGTTCCCAGCCTTTAACTGCAATCACGATACTCAGTCTTACTTGCTTCCCACTCTGTCACAGGGCTCTGAAATCATGGTATCAGCTGCATGCCTCAGTGGTATGAAAAACACTTTACAGCCCTGCACCTTTGCTTGGACAAGAAACTGCTGCTCTCAAATTGTCCATGACAGATCCAGAGGCCACTGCTGGCACTGTGTCACTGGCACTGGAGGATGACTTGAGTGATCCCATGAACCTGATGCCTTGATGGGCAACAAACCCAAAAAGCAGCAGTTACTGCTCTAGATCCTGCTGCCTCTGCCACCAAGCAAGGGATACTTGGCACCAACAAAATCAACATCTGTCTTGTAATGAGAACTAACCCAACTCTTAGCAGATTTCTTACCTGAAATCCCTTAGGAGTCAGTATGGAAATTACATGTAGTATTTACATTCAGCAATTGTCATGCCAGCCAGGAACAATTTCTTACTTTATTCCCTTCCCACTGCGCAGCAAGATTAGCACTGAATCCACACATTAGAAAACCACTGAAGACAGGGTAGTATGTAAGTATATCCAGCTGCAGTAATTACAGATTATATGTATGAGGAAGTTTCTTTCCCTTTACTATTGAACTGTTTTTATTTGCTGAATCTCAAAGTACTAGTTACTGGTTTGAGATATTGTTGAAATACTACTGAAAGCCTGTTTCATAGAAACCAGAATACTTAGGAGAAGATCACTGAAGGGGCAAAAATGATAAAGTAATTATCTGTAGAACTAGATTTAAAACCAACCAGATGGTACCAAAGAAAAGTCAAGAATGCTTTGAAGAATAAATCTGAGTCCTGATTCTTCCACTTAAGAGAATTTACACTGATAATGAGCAGTATCAGAGATAATGAATTAATGAAAAATAATCTTTTATCTCAAGCCTTGTCTTTCTCAAAGCTGACTAATGTTTGCTGCTGAAATCGGAAATGCTGGAAGCATGCATGTACAAGAATATACTTTGAAACCTAGGAACTCAGTGTATAAAGCCACTTTACTCAGGATTGATGAATATATTTTCTCTACTCACTGCCTTATAATGTACATGTTTCTAAACATCCATCTGCGTTTGTTCCGTTTCTCTGACAGTCACTGCCTTTTAATGTTTTCTGTCCTCAGTGGAAGAATCAAGTTTAAGCTACAGGCTTCAGTGTTGCTTCTGCTGATGTTATTATTGCCTTATCCCCTGTAATATGAACTTACAGAGGACTGTGTTGTTTCTAAAACAGATTATTTCTATTCATATTTTTATTTTTGTAAGGCACTAGAAACGTTGCTTTTTTACTTTATACTTCCATTATTTAACACCTATCTTTGCTCTGTTGAAAACAGGCACTGTACAATGACTGAAGTATTTCCCCTAAGAAGAATTCAACATGCCTAGTCCCTAATCCTGTAATTACTTTTGCATGTATTAAGAGTAAAAACACTTCCCTTGTAGTCACATGGAGAAGGATATGCTGAATCATGGCCTTTGTTATATAGTCCAGTTTGTAGAGGTACTCCAATAAGCCACAAATAATAATGGTCCTTTTTTCGTACTGCAATGAGTATTTTATCAACACAAAGGGTTTTTACAGTAAAACACTCTTTTTCCCTAAGTATTATTTCTCTAAATGTAACATAAAAGATCCACTCAGTAAATACTGACTTACCTTTTAGCCAAGCTTTTATTCCAAGTAAAAAAAAATAAAAATCTAGGTATGAATTCCTATTGACTAAACTAACAAACTCAGTGGCAGAATTTGCACTGACTTGAGGGTAGATGAGGATTTCAAAGAAACATTTATGTATGTAGCATGGGCTACTTCTGTTAATGTGGAGACTTAAAGGTCACTAACAAATTTTAAAAAAATCCATAAACTCAGCCATGCAGAATTATCAGAAATTGCTTGGATTGACACACAACTTTTTTAGCTTTCCAGTCATACACATCTTTTCTGATTGCTCTTCCTGCTAAATAAATAAACAAACCGTAAAGAAAACCTAGAAAACGCTAACTAGCACCCATGTACATTTTTGAAACTTGCATATAAAAATAATATATAATAAAATACTTCTTCTCAGTCCTGACTCAAGAACAGCTGGAGCCAAGGATGAGGAATAAAATGATTAATCAATTTTTCTTTAGAAAGCTGATGAAAAGCCTTTTTACAAATTTTTTTATATTCCTGTTAATACTTTATAAAGAACATTCTAAAACAGATCCAATGTACATTTCTGCTGTGTTTGGTTGCACATGCTGTTTTGCACTTTATAAAGTGAGATGAGGTGGCTTTAATTAATACTGAAAAAAACCCTATGCAGTTTGTACTCAGTGGGCTTTGGCCATCTATTCCCCTCCTCCCTTTTATGTGTCACTTGTAAATTGATTGAGAAATACTCTGCTTCATGCTTCCCTACTCTTGGCATACAACATCTTTAAAGATTCAAAAGAGATAGGAAAGCTAAGAAAGCAACAGATAGGTAATACAGCAGATGGCTTCATCTCCAGTTAAACTTGCTCATAGTAACAAGCAGTAAGACTGTATTTTTTCTGCAGAGTGCAGGTGGAGAGGCTGCAAGTGAAAATAAATTTCTGAATACAGACTCCAGCACAGGATCAGTGGAAACTACTGCCAAGCCATTACCATTTAAAGACCCAAACTTCATCGTAAGTATATTATTTTAACAATTTGAAATTTCAAACTTTTCCCATAAAAGGCTAACTAGGATTCTATTTAACCATGTTCCTAGTGTAAATATGAAGAAAATAACCTTAATAGCCAAATAAAAGTTGACAATTTTTAAGAAATTCACCTCAATCCATGTAACACCACGGTCTAAAGTGCACACTGTATTATGGCATGAAAATGGCACTGGTCCAGAGGCAGAACTGTTATACTGAATTCTGGAATGAAGTGAGGAAACCTGTTGGGTGCAGGCAAGTGTGGAAGTTTTATGATATGGTATCTCAAAAACCACCACAGCTAGAGAGGAGCAATTAATACTACAAATGTCGGACTCCTAGTCAAGGCAGGATGCAAAGCAGTTGAGCTAGAAATTAGCCAAGGTATCATTAGTAAATGGCATTTTGCTCCTCTTCTGGCCTCTGAAACTCTTAACAGATTTGTGGTGTCTTCTTCCAATCATTGCTAGATTTAGAAGCAAAATGCTCTTTGCTCCCTAGAAGTCTGGCCTGCCAGCATTCACTCATGTAAACACTGACAGCCGATGAAATACAGGCTGCTAACACTTTGAGGGTTAAACTAGGAGAGAAGATGAAGAAGACTAAGTTAGTAATGTTGGGTTTGTTTTTGATATCTTTTTATCTTGCTGTGCCAAGTCTAACTTATTGGCACACAGTACAAATGCTTTCTAGACAAGCAGACCTCTCAGACTGCTGGTCCTAAGCCAGTACTTAGAAAGAAGGATTTTATCCCAGATTTCATTCTGCATGAACAAGATAGAATATCTCACAGCACATAACGAGTAATCAGGCAGCGCACAGCTCACTAAGCACAGGTTTGGCGGGGGTATGAAATTAATCTCTGACATGTGAGTTGCTCTACACCTGCTCTGCAGACAACTTCAGTCATGAGAGGGGCATTCAAACTACTATATACTTTGCTCAATAATCCTCCAGCAAGCACCAGAATCTTTGAGAAATGGGGCTTATTGCAAAAGCTCCTTTTGTGCCCAGAGGCATCCCATGTAGCTTCCACATAGGATTTAAATATCCATGAGGCCCTGAGCTGATCCTTCAGTTCTTAGAGGGATGTCACCATTTCCAAAGAGGCAGTACTAATATCTGCATGCTTGAAATAATAATGAATGTACAGGGTCTTTGGTGACTGCTGCAGAAATAATAGGCAGTTATAATAAAAACCATGAAATTGTCCCCTCCAATACTGTAACTAATTTGAGAAGAAATGCATTGAGTGTTAATCAGCATTTCATTGGTATGACCTGGTAGTAACAATTTGGTTGGATTTTTGCATCTTTCCAGCTTAATTTGCCTTAAAAGGAAGAAAATAAATCAAATAGTGTCTATCTCTCATACATATGCCCAGGTTTGAACCATTAGCTCACTGCAGAGGATAGACTTAAGAGAAGGAGGAAGAACTAACCTTTTCCTAAACTTTCTGATTGGAATTTACATCCCTTGGCAATGAGGAAGGGGAAAAAAACTTTCTGACACTTGTGTAGAGCAATAGCTGCTGTAGAGCATTAGCTCCATCTGTCCTAGCTTTTGCTTTCTCTGAACTTCGCTTGGTTCATTTGTGCTTGAATGGCGTTGCCTTTTCATTGTATGTGTGTGAGGTGATGCTCAGCCCCATTTTTAGGAGGCATAAGTTCATTTAAAAACAGGTTGGTTTTGAGAATACTGAACAAAAAATCATTATGCAGTGATTTGGGGGAAAATTCACGCAATTAATTTGAGTTAGTAGTGTGGAAGTACATGTAGTTTCATGTCATGCTGTAGCAGTCTCTATTACACAATGATCTTTAGATGACTAAGGTGTTACTCTAAGAGCAGATATTGCCTTCTATGTTTTAAATCAGATATCCATCACCAAAACCCAGTATATCATCAGATCATGAGCGTCTTTTCTGAATATATCTTATGTCTGCAAAGAAAAGCTATTTCATTGAATCCTTCCTCCTGTCATCGTCATCAATTTAACTGGTTAATTTATAAACATTCAAAGCAGAAGTGTGTTTACAGATTTTTGCTGAGTTTCAATGAGACTCATGGGGCAAGTAGTAATTATTAACAGAAATAGCAACTTCTCAAATGTAAGAACATTTTCTTTTTCTGAAGTTAAGCTGTAAATCTGTATCCTTTGATCATTTAGAAGTAGTACAGTATGTTGTGCAGCTTCTGTCTCTGGAGGGACATAAATAAATTACTCTGTAGCAATCACATTTGATAACTGCAACTGCCATTATAGCACCTGTGGCAAGCCTTCCATTAGTGTTCCTTTCAAAATGCAAAACTGTCTTGGCAGCCAACATTCTATTTATTATTCTTTTTCTATTATTCTGTCTGCTAGCCTTTGAAAGAAAAATAAAATTTCTAGAAAGTTTTCATAGTATTCATTACATTTTGCAAAATCTGTTGTGTTTTTTGCAGTCACAGATAATTTGGAAAAGAGCTGCACCTGTAATATGCCATGAAAAGGAGAGAAAAAATTTAGCTGTATAATCACAGTTTTAGAAACAACTTCACAGTAATAAGTTCTAATATGATAGGAAGTACATACAAAATCCTGTAATCTCAGCCTGAGCCTAACCACATTGATTTTCTATTTCCATGTAAAAAGCAGATTTTAATTTCCTTCAGTTAATCGGAAACATAGAAGCTTTGACACAGTCCAAAAAGCTCTGTTTTTGCTTGCAGCCAAGATTAAAGTGTACAGCATAGTAGCCTGCTGATGAAATAAGTGAGAATAACAAATGGTTCATGACAAGATGAGACATATCATCATAAAGACTATGAAATAGAAGTGTCATGCTCTGAAATGGTATTCTTTATTTATTTTTTTCTCTAAACACCATATTTTTAATTCTAGCACTCCGGCATTGGTGGAGCAGCAGCTGGCAAGAAGAACAGAACGTGGAAGAACCTAAAACAAATTCTTGCTTCTGAAAGGGCATTGCCATGGCAACTAAATGATCCTAGCTGTAAGCTGCTTAGATGCTTTGCATGTATTTATAAATAATAGGATCCACACAAATAACTTTCTTTAAAACTAACCTAAATTATTTCATCAGTGTATGCAGTATCCTGCTTGAACAGGGTCCAGTAGTACATTTAAGATTACTCCAATCACACTCATCAGCCCTAAGTGGAAAGTAGGGAGAAGCAAATAATTTGGAGTACCATGGCAAAGTTCAAATACATCTGGGAGGAGAGTTTAATAAGAAAAAATTATTTATCCAAACCAAGTCAGAAATCTTTATTCCCAAGAGTTTTTTGTCACCTTTTCACTGGTTAGGCACATTCTTCTCTTTGTACAGTGCAGAGGTCTTTTGGTGGGTGGCTGCTGCTTGGTTAGTTATATTTGAGCACTTTTCAAATAGTTTTGCGAAGCCACATACCTGCATTAGCTTAGACCTCAGCCCAAGCTTCCTATCCAGCTCCTTATCCCAGATTCTTGGGAGATTTAAATCCTACATCCTCTCTTAGTGCAGCACAGCTGAAACTACACTATTAGCAGTGCTGATTAGCAGTTCTAGCTGGTTGCATCCACAGGAGCAGAGTTACAGCAGTGGTCTTAATCTAGATATTCTTCAAGTCTACTTGTAAAGTAGGATACTATTGAACATAGCTGCTGGCAGAATGCAATTCTCAGATTTTATTTAAGCAAGTGGAGGCATTTCAAAACTGAGCATATGCATATACTTTTTGTCAGAGTTAGTGCTTTATCCAAAAATAGCTTGCTGTTTTTTGAAGTGTTTTAGATGCAACTATTACAGAAAAATGCAGATTACTGTGTGTTCCTGGCCATTGTAACTGGCAATCTGCTGATGTTGCTATTTCTACTATGCTCTGTTTGCAACCAAAATTTTGCAGGATTTTTTATATGGAAGGAAAAGGAATTCAGTTTCATATATAAAACCAGCTGTCTGTGGCATTCGGGTCTTTTGAATTATGAGATGATGAGTTAGAAATTTGATATGGATGGAGTGTTTGAATTGAACATAGCATCTGAATGACTTCCAAGGGAGATTAGGAAAGAGGAAAGAAATTAGTCAGGTATAAGGTATTTTTGTAAACATCCAGAATTGAGGATTTAACTACTTAAGCATACCAACTGTATCTTAAAAAATGTTTATGAGTGATAATTGCTATCTAAAGGGCATCGAAGAACAGCAATTTTCAACCCTCAACCCTGAATGTTTAAACATTCAGACAATTTTCTAGGTCATTGACTGGGCTTAAAGTGGTACATGCTTAAAGATTTAACTGATTTAAAAGATTACTTTGCTTTTCTGGATTATAGTATTTCAGAGCTGCAATCTTGAGCAATGTTTCACGGTCTTAACATACAGTATGCATTTGATAATGGCTATTCTTTGCACATGACTGACTGCAAGGGAATTCATTAAGACTTGGAAGAAATGGACATTTCAAATGGCTCTGACATTTTCCTTTTGGGGAGGGCAGTTCTGCTTGCTGAACTCTATAGGTGAGCAGGATCAGACTGTGATTTACAGTGCTATCAGGCTAAATGTTTTCAGAGGTGATTCTGCTTAATATTTCTTTGCCTTAGTGTTGCTAGTTAATAGAGACATAAGAGAGTAGGTATATGTTATAGAATATATATATAAAATACACTGAGTTAATGCCTTTGTTTCTCTCTAGATTTTAATATTGATGCTCCTCCTTCATTTAGACCTGCTAAGAAATATTCAGACATCTCAGGACTTCCAGTAAGTATTTTTTTTCCCCCTCAAAATTGGCATCACACCTTCCACAGTGAAATAGTGCTGGTGCCTTGTTTTGTGAATGATGTATATACTGAGGTTCCTATTCAGACTGGGGCTTAATAATTATCCGGTGATTTAGAATCAAACCTCAAATAGTTGTCACTACATCACAAAATCCTTAGGTTGCTAATAGATGTCAGGACAGAATAAATACCTTTTCCTGCCAAGTAACTCCTATGACACCTCTTTCTCACCTGTAGAATGTACATTGGTGCCCATAATTTCTAAGTCTTAAGACAGCTACAGGGAAAGCTGATAGTCCACAGTCTCCATGAGTGTTATCTTTGTCAAGATATACCCACACTGACTGAAACTTTACATGCTGTTTGCTTGATTTGGATTTATTTCATTGTATCTTGCAGAGGAAGTTTTAAAAAGATGGCTCAGCAATTTTCAGTAATGAGATTAGGCAAAATTTTATTGTTTGGCCTCTTTTACACCAGGTTAAAAAAAACAAAACCCTTGCTATCATTGCTCTCAAACTTTGCCTCAAACAAATCAGCCTGAAATAGACACTTGGCATACACTGTTGAGAATTTCAAATTCTGTGCTTCAGAGCTGAAAGTTGGAGTTTGGCAGATGTATGCTCTGTGTGTCACAGATGGGGTCTTTTACATGTTTTTGTTAAAGAAAGAGGAGAAAGGGGTGAAAAAAAAAACAAACCACATTTGACTTAGATACAGTTTGCACATTCTCCAGAAAGTCTTGGTAGTTACAATTTGGTGCCTGAATTCCCCAAAGATTCTGTTGGCACAAAGCAGGAGTAAAGTCATTGAATTCTGCCCAACAAAAATTTTGTATCTCTTGTTGAAACTGTTCCTATGTTACATGAATAATTTTACTTAAAACAGAACAGGTATTAGTAACAGCGTGTCTTTTAACTTTTCACCTTCAAATGCCAGTGATTTGTTTTGCAGAAGCCTGTGCATTTCTTACAATCGAAATGAATGGGAATGTTGTATTTTGGAGTAAAAAAATGCTTAAGTAATGGTTACACTAGTAGCTACAATAATGAAAACCCTGTAGTGTCAAGGAGCCTTGCACAGAATCTCTGTGTCACTTGTCCCTGTTTGATGTCTCTTACCCATAGGGCAGTAGCCCACCTTCAAAGGTTTGGTATCACCTCCTGGAGATGGCCTTAAAGGTACATGTTTGTTGTGCAGATGTAGGTTAGCATACCACCTTGCATTCTGTGCACTGAATTAGGCAAAAAGTCCTCATTAGGACAGAAAATGGGTGAGCACTTGACTAAGGGCTCCTTTATAGTGGATATTTAGTGTAAGGTATCAAAGAATAGCTGTAGGACCAGCTATAATCCTGCACATCCTAGCATTTGATCTTGACTTGGTAACATGTTTTCTTAGACTTATTTTTTAAGTAACACATTTAAATAAGGAACCTAGTAAGTGGCATGTGGCCAGCCTGTTGCCTCTGAATGTGGTTTGAATAGGGAGTGAGTTGCTCAGATAAAGACTGGTAATCCTTCATTTTCAAAAACAACTTCATTTTCAAAAAGCAACTTCTCCCTAATAGATTAATTGGCAGACAGCAAATGGAAGAGACTGCTCACAAGCACAGGGATGATAATTCCCTGCAGCCAGGCAGAATCCTGCCCCATCTCCAAGGAACCAGATAATGCTTTCCAGCACTAACCTTTGATGTATTTCAAAACTAACAAGTCATTGCACCTATAGTAAGCTGATGATGCAGGGTATAGATGGGAGCGGAGACCACATCCCTACTATCTATGGGTCAGTTAAACCTTAGGAAATCTCTCAGTTCTCAGCTTTTCTTTACCAGCACCTCTTTTCCATCAGTGATTTTTGTACTATAACTATTCTAGCTTAGTGTAGGTGTTCTCTATACAAACCCATCCAGCGCTACTTTTGTTTTCTTTTCTTCTCTTTCCGCTTTTTTTTTCTTAATTTTCCATTCTCTAATTGCATTGTGAGTCAAGTTTCCTGTTTTACCTGGCCTGCAAAGTTTCTCCAGACGATGATAAAATTACCACATTTAAAAAAAACCCTTTTTTATTAAAATAGCCGAGACAATGTGTCCTTTAAATTGCTAGGCTAGAAATGTTTCATAAGAAGAACTAAATATGCTTTCAAGATCATTTCCTAGTAGGAGGATATGTGGGACAATAGAATATTGTAGAAATGTAGTATTTGAAAAATGTCCCTGTATTTTCTGTGTAAAATATAAAAGCATTTGTGTAAGAATGTATTTTCTGTGGAAATGCTGGATTCCCCATGGGGGCAAAAAATTCCTTAGCATTACCCATTTAGGGAAGAATTAAATTGTCTACTAGGTACAAAAAGAGAAGAGTATTAGAACATTCTTAATCAGCATACCAGCTCTTACATTAGATGCCACAATTAAATTCTACTGATCCCCTTCTCTTTCTGTGTATAAAACAAATGAAATTAAATTTACCAATGGTCTCAGCAGAGCAGCCAATTTATATTTGTAAGGCAGCCTAGAATTCTAAAGCTATTATCTACTGTCTTGACTCTGCAAAATAAACCTATTATTTCCAAGCTTGCAAGGTGAGTATTTAGATATTTTAACATGCAAAACAGAGTCATTTATTGTAAAGCAGATTTAAAAAAAACACCCAAACCTTCACATGTTTATACTTCTCTTCCTTTTCTGAAAATGGATCAGCCCTGTTTCTATAGAAACAGATTGAGATACCTAGTTTATTGTATTTTAAGAGCATGTGTCCATGGCCTTTGACTTAGTTTTTAAACATGACAGAGTTTTTTCTATGCAAATTCATCTTAATTTAATATTCTAATCTCTAATTAATGCTGGAGTATTGGTAAAGTTGGTTTTCAGGCCGAAGTCATGGCATGAATAGCTGGTTACCATACATTAGTGTCTGCCCAATACATAATATCAGAACAGTGAAGAGCTGCCATAATACTTTTAACCTAGATCAGTGCAAAATACAAATTGCAGATATTGCTTGGTTACTCTATTGCAGAATCATACACATTTGAAGAGCAGTCTAATTGCCTAGCTTTTTCTTACATGAGGCCAGATGTAAAGAGTGAAATAAAAGTAAATTTATACCTGCTGTAATCATGAAGTTACCAGCAGGGATAAATTTATTCCTGATGTTCTAACTTTGCCATTTGTTTGAAGCTTAATTGATGGCTTGAACTGTTAGCTGGCTACATTTAATTAACCTGGCAGCATTTCTTTGTAAAGAAAATCAAGCTACAAATAACACTAAATTTTCCAAGTCATATCAGACCAAATGATTGGCTGGATTGTTACCATGGTCAACAGGTGCCTTTCCAACATAAAAATGTAGAGAGCTCTGCCCTATAACCATGCAGCATGAGAGACTACTCCAGCTCTTCCTGGCCTTTCCTATTTTTAGTACAAATGTCTTGAGGGATCTCAGCTACCTGTGCCTTGCAGACCGCCACCATCTTGTGCTAAAGAAAGGCACAGAAGACACTTTTGGAGCCTTGGCAGGCACTTGGTAATCCAGTGCCGAAGAGGCAGAGATTGTCCTGGAGGCTGAGTGTGGAGGGGCAATGCTCTGATGCCCGTCTTCTCCCAGTGCAGCCTCCTGGCCTACCCCTGAGCTCAGCTGAGCTCCAGGTTTCTGTAGCAACAAGGAAGGGAAGAGGATAGAAGGAAACTGGCACCGCTCCCAGGCACTCAGGGTCCAAATATAGCAGAGGATACAAGCGTAGCCCAGGGTGAGCTGGCCAGGCTGCTATCCTGAAAGCAGGCATCTGGAGCAAACCGCAACACTGGGTTCAAATCTCTTATCAGTTCAGTCACAGAACCATAAGCTGAGACTCCCTAGCTTTAACAACCACTTTAAAGTAAATTAAAAGCTAAATTGTGTGCAGCAGAGAAAGGCAGTCCAAAGCTATCAGAGCACCCATAATTCAGGCTCTTTGTGGGTAATTTATTGGCAGCAGCCTCACTCTTTGGAGAGCTGCCTTGAGAGAGACTGCACAAGGCACAGAGTTGCTAGGGTGAGTTTAGAGAGTTGAGGAATTTCTTTTGCGCTGTGTTTTATAGGAAACTTACTTCAGCCTTCTGTTATGTTTAATGCATTTGTAATCTGATTTTATAGGGGTGTGTAAACTTCTCATAAGTTCTCAAATGAGGAGAAAGAAAAAAAGACAGACTTGTGGCCGCATGGTAGAACAGTAGTGCTGTTACTAGGAAGAGAAAGTCACTGTTTTGTGGTCCTGTAATTAAGAGAATTCTTTTGCTATTATGGTCAGAAATTTAATTTTCTTCCTATCTCTACCATTGTTTCTTTTTCAGGCAAATTACACAGATCCACAGAGCAAGCTAAGATTTAGTACTATTGAAGAATTTGCCTATATTCGGATGCTCCCTTCAGATGTGGTTACAGGATACCTGGCTCTAAGGAAAGCAACAAGTATTGTTTCCTGAACAGACTAAATATTCCTGTATATTGCTTGTGAACAGTGCTGATTTGGAGTACCATGATGGAAGCTGACTGTGGGACTGAGATTGTTTAAAACTATCCATGGATTTTTACATCTGGAAGTAGTTGATAATACATGCATTTGAAGAACACACGGATTTTGTTTTCATAAATGCTGATATTTGTTAGTTTGCCAATTTGTTAGCAATTTAGTTTGGTGAACAGAATAACTTAGACCTTAAGGATATGTATCTATACTATAATGTCTCATTTATATTAATTTCTGTAAAGGTGGGATTTCATCTCCACCCTATATATTTTATGTACTACCCTGGCTCAGAAGAAGCTGTCATTTGAATTAAGGAAAAGGCAACAAGCTATCCAAATGTCTAAAGCTGCCTAACCAGATGTGCTTGCCACTTTGGATATGAAGTTTGTCCCATCTGTAAAATGAAGCTAAAATATCTAGCAAGTGCTGCCATTGTGATGACTTTTCAGGGTTCTGTGGCACTGTGAAAATGAGGACACAAATGTTTATATTGAATTAACTGTCAACATAAATAAAGTTGGTCTCAAACCTGCTTGTAAAATACATTGCCTGTTACATGCTCATTAGTGAACATGTGTAACAGGATCCAATCAAATCACCGTGTAACTCTTAATCATGACACTTTGCAGTTTTTGAGTGCTTCATTTCACAACCTGACTATTCTACTTTCCTAGTGATTACAGTATTTGTACGAATTAGTATGAAGAATGTACTAATTTCCCAGTCTAAAAAGATGCTAAAAAGCAAGATTCTGCTCTCCATTGGCATTCTGACACCCAGATGGCCTTCAGCAAGGCAAGACCTTCTATGTTAGAACACTGAACTTAGCACCATGAGACACCAAAAGAATACTTGAGAGCAAGTTTTGTCATGCTTCAGAAGAAGGAGACTGAAAGAGAGTTTGGACTCTTGCTGGAGGGACGGCTAACAGGTACATGGCAACATGCCAACTTAAGAATGACCATGACTTCCTGAAACTAAGTCTAGGGGCAAAGGGGCAGAGAAGGTTTTCTGCCTATTCTTTCTTTCTGTCCTCTTTCTTATGACCAGCTAATGTCTTCCCATTTCTGAGTCTTTGTCCCAGCCTTAAGCTCTTGCTAGGTTGTAATCTGGACTCCCAAGTTCAGGCTCAGCTGTTCCTAGTCCCCAGTCACACAACCTTCACTCCCACACTCCATCAACAGTCCTGTTGTGGTGGCACTAGAATTGGCTGCTACACAAGTTACCACTTGGGAATGTTCTTTCCCCATGGGCAAAACTGCCAAGTGGAACACTTGTGCCATAGTTTGTTAGTCTTGGACTCTGCGGGTCACTGGGGAGGTGAGGTATTGATCAGGAGACAGCATTCCTGACTCAGCAAGCTCTACCATGGACATGAGGATCTTACACAAGGCATACTCTTCTCTTTGCCTACACAAGCAGTGGTGACTATTCAGTGTCTAAGCTGTGTTTTGAATGCATGTTTCTATAGACATAATAATAATTAATTTTTTTCTGACTGAAAGAAAAAATGTGCAGAGTATTATTAATGCTAGTTTAATTTTTACTCCAAAACAGGAAAAACAATAATGGGATACATTCTTTAATGAAAGTTGGTGGGACTCATTCCTCAGTTTTTGTGATCTAATATTGCCAAAAACAAATTCTAAAAGTCTTTGGCATGCTTACAATAGATCCTTCAAAGCCCTAGATATCTGATAATGCTACAACTGTATCACAGTACAAAAAAGAATAAGACAGGATATCTCTCGGCATGCCAGCAAAGCATCCAAGCCACATTCTCTTTGCACTGGGTTTTATAATGGATATTTTTAAGTTATATTACATACTGAACATGTGTTTATAAGATAAGCTTAAAACTGATACAAAAAGAAAACACATAGAACTGCTGTAAGATCATTTTTGTTTTAAATAAGCAGACAGCAGCTCAGAAAATTGATTTTACAAGCTTGTTCTCTCCCACAAATTTTTTTAACATTCTTTGGGAATGACTGTGTAGGAGCCCAGGCTCCTCCACTGTCAGAAGTGTTCATGAACTCCTGCACTTTATATTAAGATGTTGCTTCTCAGCTAATTTCTCTTGTGCAGCGTTTATGCATTGTTTTCAAAATCTAAACGTCTCACAGAATAGATCAGCATCAGAAATGCAAATACATCTTTAATTTGGCAAAAACATTAGTGACTCTTCTCTCAGTGTTCTGTATCCATATGATGGCTACAAGATTCCCTTTTTTTCGCTTCCATGTTTTTTCCCTTGTTGGCCTTTTGTTCCTAGTCAGTAGTACCTCCCTTTTACTGATAAGGCTGTGCAGTGGTCAAGCTAAGAGTGATGAATCAGCCACCAGCACCATTCAGCATTACATCAATCAACAACAGTTTTCTATGTGGAACAATCTAACCAGGTTTCATTTAGCAGGAAGATGAGGACAGAACAGATCTAGTGGCCAACATGTGCGATGGCATTCAGCCCTGCTGGGTTCCTTTCGAAAACAGCACATGAACCTGCTGCTCTCATCAGTGCCTTCTATGAGAGAACTGAGCAGTACCTTCCTTGCTTTACTTAAGAGAAAATATGGATGAGTGAAAAGCTTATCTGTGCCACAGAGAAGTTTTAAAATGTTTTATTGACAGGTTTAGAAGAAGTGAAAATTGAGAAGTACATTTATATGTAAAAGTACTTACAGGATATTACCTAGATAAACATACGTAAGTTGAATTTAAATTGAAAATAGGATAAAAGAAAAGCTTTTGAAAAGAGAAGCAGCAATGAATACCATTTCAGACATGGAAAGAATGTGTTTTGGCTAATAGCAGTGCCATATCTCAAAAGCAGAAAGCCAGCAGTCAGGATGAGGACTAATTTGTTAGAGTACGACAAATATGTGGGAAGTATCACCTGAGTGCCTTACTTCACAGAGACCATGGATGGCTTCAGCCTCACACACATTTGCTTTGGGATGTTCCCCAGCATCCTCTTGTAGGGCTTTCAGCACACACCAGTTGCTAAGTGCCCACAGAAATCCCACTGACATTAATGAGAAGTGAGCTTGTCCAGCAACTCTCAAGATGCAGTCCAAATGGCAAAGCTTTAACCTCAGTTTTTTTGGCAGGTGGAAAGCACGTTTTCCATGCCTCATTTGCCCTATCCCAGAAGCCAAGCTTCTGTTTTCTTGTGCAGTTTCCTGCCCAACACACACCACTGGTCCAGTAAACACTGGAGATGGGGAATTGTCTCCAGCCTATGGTGGGGTTTTCTGTTTTTGTTTAAGCCTGCAGTAGCTTTGGGTGGATCTGCTTGCCCCCAAAGGCCAGGACAAAGCAGGTAGCAGTTGCCCCTGGGCAACAGAACCACTGTAGCTGAACTGCCTGGTGTGGTCTAAGCCCTGGTGCTGCAAGGGCGCTGTGCTGAGCTGGGGCAGGGGCTGGGCCACATGGGGTCAGGGACTGCAGAGACAGCTGCTCCCAAGGGAAGGGATCTGCTGGGAGCCAAGAGGAATGAAGCAATCAACAGCCACAGCTGCCATCTCTGCACTCTTTAAAGGAAGGGAAAAGAGGGTGCTGGAGCTCCAGGACTCTTCCCTTGATTATTCCCTGCTGTTTCAAACAGCAGGTGTGTGCCCATGGAAACTTCCTGCCCCAGCCCTTCCCTCTGTTGCATCTGAGGTAGGAATGACCTTGGCTCCACATCCTAGAAAGCTGCAAAATTCAATTGAGAGGCCTTGGGCCAGCTCATTTTGGAGCCCCTCCATGTCAATGTCCTGTATTTCTTGGCTTTCTCCCATCACAGTGTTCTAGATCCGTATGGAATTGCTATATACGGGCTTCTGTGGAGGACGGGAGTAGCAGTCGTAGTCAAGGAGATGTACCTTAATCTCCTTTGACACAGAAAAATGAAAGTAAGCAAAGGGGAGGGCTTTTTATTGGTGCAAAATATCAAAGTAAAAGTTATCCAGTATAAGCTGAAAAAGGTTTTTCTAAGTCCACTCTGTTGAGAAAAGCTTGAAAAGCCTGACTACAATAATTTTCCTGAAGGGCTAAGTAATTTTTAATTCATGAAACAATAATTTATGACTGGAAAACTAACCAATGGATTTTAAGGTCTCTTATAATCTGTAACAATGTGTGTGGCTTACATTCTCAAATAGCACATAGTTTTTCTTCCTGAATCACTTCAAGAAAAGAGAGTTTCACAGACTTGATGTCATGTTTCAGGAGGAAAACCCTGACTTAGTGCTCTTTTAAACAAGAGTCAGGTGGTATCTATATTGTTACTGAACATTCAGTCACACTACAATGGTCATACCACTAATATTACAAGTCACAGAAATTCCTTCATAATTCTCTTTTTTTAGTAGGTGTTCCCCAATGAAAGACCACTTTGTCTGCTGGCAAGTGGCTGGGTGGAACATGATAAAATAATACATCTTCAGGCAAGAAAAACATTTTAAGTCCATTTGGTATCTGTAAGTATTGCTTGACTTGTTTTTTTATTACCTGAGAAGCTTAAGAAACCAAATATTTTCAGGTGATTACACTACAGTAAATCACAGCCTACAGACAGCAATAGCACTAAGCTCTTGAGAGAGGTAATAACAAGTAACAAACACTGTTTAAACTAATGTAGTAGTTGAGTAGTGCCTGTGTAATTGCACATGGTTTATGACTTATGAGGTCACTTGTACAGACCATTGCTGTCTCTTGATGCTGTAGTGTAAAATCAATAATCTTGACACAAAAAGCATAGAACTAGTGGACTAGACAGTAAGATAGGGCTGGCTGTGGTTAGTGTTTACCAGCGTGTTCTCCTCTGAGCAAGAGCTCCCCTCAGGTATTGCATGATGACTGCTGTGGCTGTGCTACTTGACTCCAGCACACCCAGCATGGCACCACAGGAAACTCGTCTGGCTCGTGGACTGCCTGAGGCCTTCTCCAACGTCCCTCATCTGGGATATAAAAACTACTCATCTCTCAAGTAAAGAAATAATTTACAAGTCACAGCTCATGTGAATAGTGTCCCTTTCCTCAGCAAGTCTTGAATCTAAAGCACAGTTTATGGTAGAGGAGAATAGGTGTCCCTTGTGTGGATATTTCTGTTTCAGTGCAGATCATACACAAGCAAGTTCTCAGCATCAAGTTTTGGAATTTCTCAAGACAGCTGCCTACACGTGCATGGGAAGAAAGTGTTTCCTGCCTCATCGTATTGAAATAAATGGGATGTGTGTGCATTCAGTGCCACTGCATGGAGCTGATAAATGTACAGCAATAAACCCTTGTGAGCAGAGAGGCACAAGGTCTGCTTGGCTGATACCCTGCTGTGTGTTTGGCACTGAGCAAGCAAGGGTAATAGGGAGTTTTTGAATTTTTGCTGTGATCCCACTTGTATCCTGGGGGACAGCAGCTTCTCTTGATGCTCTTCTCCCAGGAGAAAGAAATGCCTTTAAAAGGACATCATAAACACATGTACATTGCCTACATATTGTGTGTCTAGCCACTAGTTCCATGACATAAAGACAATGCAAAGGGGACAGAATTAAGGATGTTTTAA